AGAAACATTGAGCTGCCTCCTGCACACTCCCCACTGGGGATGTGCACGCAAACAAGGTACATGCCCTTGACCGGAACCGAACCCGGTACCACCGAGTCCGCAGGCCGACGCTCTATCCACTGAGCCAAACCGGACAGGTCAGTTTTTTTTTTAAGAGGCTACTAATCTGATAACTGACAGCGTAACTAAAATAAAAGATATTTCATTGTGGAACTTCCTAAAACATTTGTGCTGGTTCTCAAAAAAATTAAAAACAACAACAACATTAAAACTTATGTCAAAACAAAAGTTTTTTTTAAATATTTGATTTTCTAATAAAGTTAAAAGGACCCTAACCATTTTCCTATTACCCACACACTCCTAGTCTATCTCAATCCTTAAATAATTATTTTTTGAGGTACCTGCCACAGTAACCTATGCATGAAATAGGAAAAGCAGGAAGAAATTCCCCAAACAGGGCAGCTTTACTAATTTGTAAATTATAACCGTATCAGTATATAGTATGTCAAATGTATCAAAAACTTTGAGAAAGTTCATATGCTTCTGACCAAGTAATGTGACTCCTAGAAAATAAACTCTAAGGCAGTGGTTCTCAACCTGTGGGTCGCGACCCCTTTGGCGGTCGAACGACCCTTTCACAGGGGTCGCCTAAGACCATCCTGCATATCAGATATTTACATTACGATTCATAACAGTAGCAACATTACAGTTATGAAGTAGCAACGAAAATAATTTTATGGTTGGGTCACAACATGAGGAACTGTATTTAAAGAGCCAGAAGGTTGAGAACCACTGCCTAAGGAAATAAACCAAACACTTTTTATGTCCAAAGATTATTTACTGCAGCCTTCTTTACAAAACATAGTAAAAATGGAAATAACAAATAGCAAAGACCAGAAATGTTCATCAAATTATGGTACAAACATACCATGTAATATTTCTGAAGTTTTAAAAATTTTAACATAGAAAAATGTGTATAACAAGCTTATAATAGGAAAAAAGGCTTCAGGTTTAATTTCTAAGATGTCTAGAAATTCTGGATAACAAAATCTTGTTTGGAATACTGCTTTATTTGCCTAGAGTGAGCATTTTATGCAACAGCAGAGAACTAAGGCTACATCATATATTGTTTAAATTTTTATTTATCGATTTGAGAGATTTTTTTTGTTGCTCTATTTATTTATGTTTTCATGTATGTTCCCTGACTGGGGATTGAACCTGTAACCTTGGAGTATGGAGACAACACTCTAAACAACTGTGCAACTTGGCCTGGGCTCATCCATCATATTTTAAGAGGCTATATAAAATACTTCATGCTTGCTGGCTCATTGTCTGCTTGTGCCAGAAGCTGCATACTTATGAAAATAACTACCAAAATACCAAGAAATTGTGGAGTAGTTGGGTGTGTGCAAACTGGCTTTGCATAGTTTGTAACAATCAGAATGACCAGAAATTCAAAACATCAGAAACAAAAGATAAATACCTGGCAGGGGTTTTCAAATAAAGTAAGAAATAGTTTATATAATTTCAGTCAAGAGAAACAGGCATAGGCTGATAAAAACAGCATATAAAGCAAGCAGGAGTGATCAGAGTTCAATTGTTTTAAGGTTCTTATGTTATTTAGAATGAGGGTAAACGATATTTATTGATTTTAGATTTTTCTGAAGTTAAAAATGTGTATTAAAACTTCCAGGATAGCCATTAAAGGAAATGAAGCAGAATAAAAAACTTCTAGGCTAATAAGAAAAGAATGAGATGAGAAAATATAATCTAAAATAAGACATGAAAGAAGTGTCTCTTATGTTTAAAGATTAAAAAGCGTATTTCTAAGTAACTCATAAGACAAACAAAAAAAACCATAAAGAAAATGTTAGATGACAAAAAACATTACATATTAAAATTGGGAGGATACAGCTAAAGTGCTATGTAAAAGAAAATTTACAAACTCAAATACTATTAGAAAAGACTGATAATGCAATAAACAACCTATTTAAGAAACTAGAACAAAAAGCCAAACTGAATAAACTCAAAGAAAGCAGGAAATAAAAAAATAACACAATAAAAAAGAGAAAAGGAGAACTGTGTCCCTCATTTAGTCTCCCAAGAAAAGATCAAGAGTGCTTCAATCAAACACAATCTTCTATTGATATGTAGATTATCCACACATTTATATTTATATATTTACATAAACAGGTGCATATATGTATGCATATGTATGTAGGAAAACAAGGGGGTGAGATGGCAGCACAGGAGGAGGGACACAAGAGAACGTTTTCCAAAAAGGGATGGTTCTTTGAAAACAACCACTTGGAAAATAATCTTGGTGTTGCCCACAAAAATGTGTATACACAATCTATGTTTTTAACAGCACTTTTTATACTGGTAATAAACACCTCAATGTTCATCAAAAGTAAGATAAATTATAGTATATTTACAAAATAGAAAACTAGAACAATGAAAATAATGAGTCTCAGAATATACATAATGTTAAGCAAAAAATGCAAGCTGAGATTATATACAGTATAATTCTAATTGTATAAAGTTCAAGATAGGCAAAATAAATAATACACTGATCAGAGATCTAAATATGTGATAGACTTTTATAAGAAACCAGGATTGTGGTTATTTCTGAGAGGGAAGGCAAGGTAATGGGATCAGGTAAAGCCACATACTGAACTTCAAAGAAACTGTTAATGTTTTTTCTGTACCTAGTAATACTTAAAATAAGTGTTCAAAAATATTTCAATGTGTGGTATTTGAATTATAATAGTTATTTCCTTCGTAGGAATTTTTAAGCTTAAAGGTAGTATCCCTGATAAAATTCATTTATAAAATATATCTTTAAAAATGTTCTTAGAATGCTAATAAATATTATAAAATTCCCTATAACTACAAAACCAGGAAAATCAAGGAGAAGGAAAACCTATGTGAAAGAATAGTTCTTTCTGAGCATGAGCTATACTAGTAACGTAAGTAATATATAATTCATAGCAACAAAATGATCTTACCTTTATTGGTGAAATATGAGAATGAGAAACAAATCCATGGACATTCTCAATTTCTGACAGGTTTTTCTCTGAAATATGAACCAATTCTGGACCTATCACCTCATTAGTGATTTGTGGGGAAATGTGCTCTTGAGGAGGTGTATCTTCATCCCGATACCGGTATTTCTGTAAAGTAAAGAAAATTGTTAAATATGAAGAGGTCCTGAGAAGCAAAGTGAATTCAATTAAATCACAGTTTTCATAACTAGCAAATACTCAATAATATTTAACTGTATGAAATGTATTTTATGGCTTAACACACAGAGTCTGAGAGAAATTGGCCTCCGTTTTAAAGTCATGCCAACATTTAAATGAAATTATTAGATTAAAAATAGTTCAGATTCTGAAAAGATGGAGTAGCAGGAAGCCCCAGGAATCTGTCTCTGTACCTACATAACAACTGCACAGGCAGACTATGATGTAACTATTTTGGAAATGTGGAGTCTGTTAAAGGCTTATAACTTCCAGGGGAAAACTTGGATGATAAATTGAGGTTAATTTTGGTCAACTTCACCACTTCTATTCAACACAGTAATAGAAGTCGCAACCAGAACAATAAGGCAAGAAAAAGAATTGAAAGGCATCCAAATTGACAAGGAAAAAGTAAAACGATCTGTTTGTAGATGACATGATTTTATGTAGAGAAAATCCTAAAGACTTGGCAAAAACAGTTAGAACTAATGAATTCAGCAAAGTAACAGAATACAAAGTCAATACACAAAAATAAGTTGCATTTCTGTACACAAACAATCTAAAAAGAAAATGACAAAAACAATTCCATTTACAACAGCATTGGAGAAAATAAAATAATTAAAAATGAACTTAAACCAACAAGGTGAAAGACTTGTACAATGAAAACTATAAAACTGCTGCGAGAAATTAAAGATGACAGAAATAATGGAAACACATCCCACATTCATGGATTAGAAGACTTCATATTGTTAAGATGTCAATAGTACTCAAAGCAATTTACAGGTTCTAATCAATCCCTATCAAAATCTCAATGACATTATTTTCACAGAAAGAGAAAAACCCAATTTAAAATTCATTTGGAATCTCAAGGGATCTGAATAGTCAAAATAATCATGAAAAAGAACAGAGCTGGAAAACACAAATTTCCTCATCTCAAAACTTGATTACAAAGCTGTAAAGTAAACCCTCACATTTATGCTAAAAAAAAACACACACACAAAAAAAAACATTTGGCAAGGGTGCTAAGACCATTCACTAAGGAAAAGACAAATGTTGCTGGGAAAACTGGATATCCACATGCAAAAGAATGAAGTTGGACTCTTACCCTAGCACCATATACAAAGATCAATTCAAAATGGATTAAGGATCTGAATGTAAGACGTAAAACAATAAGACTCTTAGAAGAAAACATAGTACAAAAACTCTACGATGTTGTGTTTGGCCATGAATTCTTAAATACGACACCAAAGACATAGGTAACAACAACAACAAGACAAACTGTACTATAGAAAAAAACTTTTAAAAATTGCACATCAAAAGACACTATCCACAGAGTAAAAAGGCAACCCACAGAATGGGGAAAATTATTTGCAAATCATATACCTGACAAGGTATGAATATCCAGAATATATAGAGAACTCCTGAAACTCAACAACCAAAATCAAACACACAATTCAAAAATGCCAAAGTGCTTGAATAGACATTTCCCCAAATTAGATATACAAATGGCCAATGAGCACAGGAAAAGATGTTCAACATTACTAATCATTAGGAAAATGCAAATCAAAACTACAATGAGATACCATCCATACCCATTAGGAGGGCACCTATCAAAATAACAGAAAACAAGTATTGGTGAGGATGTGGAGAAACTAAAACCTTTGTGTACTGTTGGTAGGAATATAAAATAGTATGTCAGTTCCTCAAAAAATTAAAATACAATTACCATATTATCCAGCAATTTTAAATCTGGGTATATATACCCCAAAGAATTGGAAACAGGGTCTTGAAGATTATATATATATATCAATAAATAAATGTAAGACCTAAAACAATAAGACTCTTAGAAGAAAACATAGTACAAAAACTCTATGATGTTGTGTTTGGCCATGTTCATAGCAGCATTAGTCACAATAGCTAATACATGGAAGAAACCCAAGTGTCCATCAACAGATGAATGGATAAACAAAATGTGGTATATACATACAATGGAATATTATTCAGCCTTAAGGAAGGAAATTCTGCACTATGTTACAACATGGGTGAACCTTACGGGCATTATTCTAAGTGAAATAAGCCAGTCATAAAAAGAAATAATTTATGATTCCACTCATATGAGGTACTTAGAGTAGTCAAAATCATAAAGACAGAAAGTATAATGATGGTTGGCAGAGGTTGGAGGAGGGCAAAATTTTGAGTTATTGTTTACAGGTATAGAGTTTCAGTTTTACAAGATGAAAGAGTTTTGGTGATGGATGGTGGTAATGGCTGCACAACAATGTGAATGTATTTAATACCACTGAACTGTAAACTTAAAAATGGTTAAGCTGGTAATTTTATGCTATGTGTATTTTACCACAATTTAAAAAAAAGAAATTTAAAACCCTGAATATTTATTTGTCTATTTCTTCCCCAATGTTAGCTGAACACTGTATCTCTAAAGATACAGTTGTTTAAGTGAAGTAAATATGAAAAGCTAAAGTTGTTCTGGTTTTCTTATTCAGTTAATTTGTACACAAATGAAAAAAATTCAGCCTTTTCAAATCTAATTAAAAATTAGTCTATTAAATAACATTATTTATCTTTTATCTACAAAAGAATCCCTTTCTTGCTGTCTCTCATACATACATATAATTCTATGCAACCTATTTTCAAAAGATTAACATAAGAAAACTAACTCTATCTCACACCATACATAAAAGTAAAAGATAGTATAAGACCTGGGAAAAAAATTAAAGTGCATGTTTCTCAAATCAGTCAGATGGGGAATATGTATGCATAAACACAAAACCAAACAAGCTAAAATATGCACCCTTCACCAAATAAGCACACTCACAAACTAACAAACAAACAAACAAAAACAGACAAGGCACAACAGTAAAAAGAATTTATAACAACAAAGAATCATTAACCACTATAAGCTGCTTCTATAAATCATATTTAAAAAAGTCAGCAAACATAATAAAAGAATATTCACAAAAGGCATACAAATGGGTCAGTAAACTTATAGAAAAAACATGCCAGCATTCAGAGAAATGAATATAAATCATCACATTCCTGGTAAAGGTCTTTTTCTGGTGGGTAGTTTGGCAATATGTTTCAAAAGCCCTGAAAATGTTTCTACTTCTTGATCCAGTAATTCCACTTCTAGGAATTAACCACAGAGGTAGCTATCGGTGAGTAGCTTAAATATTTGTTGCATATATATAAACAGGTACATTATAAAATATTTTTAAAAATCTTTACTATGAATTTGACTATGAACTTGGTATCACTTTTTAAATAACTCCTTCGGTAAAATGTTACAATTACATGGAAAACGATGAGGCTCACATCAACATTAGTTAGCTTAAAGAAATCTGTTTTTATATTATTTTCAAAACCACTGAAAAGAATTTTCTAACTTCATCCTGAGTAAGGCCAAAATTAACATAAACACACTCACAAAACAACACAGTTTATACACTCAATTGAGTGGAAGCAAAATCTAAGTACTCTTATTTATACCTTAGTACATATAAGGAAGGAAACTTAATACCATCTTTTCAAACTTTATAGATACTTACATGCAGAAGGATATTCACTACAGTATAGTCTTAAAGGAGCCCTGGTCGGGTTGTCAGTGGTTAGAGCATCAGCATGTGGAATGCAGGCTCTCGGGTTCAATTCCCAGTCAAGGGCATGTACCTTGGTTGTGGGTTCCCCAGCCCCATTGGGGGTGCATGCAGGAGGCATCCAATTGATGTCTCTCTCTCACATCGATTTTTTTTTCTCTCTCTCTCTTCCCACTGCTCCCTCCCTTCCATGCTCTGGAGAAATCAATGGAAAATGTATTCTTGGGTGAGGATTTAAAAAAAAAAAAAAGGAAACAAGCTGCCTACCAATAAACCACTCCCCCCTCCCAAAGGGCTATATAAATTATGGTACAATCATCCTAGGAAATATGTAGAGGTTAAAGTGGGTAAAATCAACTACTACTAGGAAAAGATGAAGACCTAGACTACTGAATGAGAAAAGCATCTTTCAAAGCTAACACACACACGGTTTCAACATTTCAAAGCAAAGCCATAGTGTATTTATGTAAATGTATACATGTATAAACATTACATGTATATACATATACATTATGTGTTTATGTGTATGTATGTACATGTACATATATTTATCTCCATACAAATGAATGTACATATGTAATTTGGGGGATTCTGAAAGGACAACAAAAAATGGTTCATTCTGAAAAAGAAAAATCCCTAAAAAATTATATATATAATTAGACTTTGATCCTTTTTAGTCCTTATAATTATTGAAAACCCCAAGGCGGTTGACCTGGTTTCCTAGTAAAATCACTCCATTCTCATGGTGTCATTTAATGTGGTTCTTTGGCTTCTGTATTTCTGCAAATTGGCAGCTGAATGAATTAGCAGTTTGATCAGTCTCATGTTCAATCCTTTTGACAAGACAATATGGTACTGTGTTCTTTAATCAAGAAGCACATAATATCTGGTTATTTCTTTTTTAAAAAATAAATCTTTATTGCTGGAAGTATTACATGTCCTTTTTCCCCCCACTGACCCCCTCCAGCCTGCCCCTGCCCCCGCTCCCAGACCCTCACCGCCTCATCGTCTGTGTCCATGGGCCATGCATATATGCATACAAAGTCCTTGATTGATTACTTCCCACCTACCCTCCCCCACCTTCCCTCGGGGATTCTGCACTCTGTTCCATGCTTCCAGGTCTCTGGATCCATTCTGTTCATCAGTTTTTTTTGTTACTTAGATTCCACATGAGTGAGATCATGTGATGCTTGTCTTTCTTTGACTGACTTATTTCACGTAGCATGAAACTCTCCAGGTCTCTTCATGCTATCTCAAAGTGTAAGAGATTCTTCTTTTTTATTGCTGCGTAGTATTCCATGGTATAAATGTACCACAGCT